TTGCAGTAAGACAGATATGCCACAGGAAGAAACTTTGCACGTAATAGCGGAGTGTTGCTTATACAAATTATTTGGTCCTTAGAATTTGGTAGCAATGAGCTAACTGTAAGTTTCTAGGTCTAAGATACGATGCTTTTTTGAAGATTAAATATGCACAGAAAAGTTACTATTTTGCTCTGGAGCCTTAATGTTTTAAAGGTCTACAGGTAGGTGACAAGGTGAGATTAGTCCTTGTAACTGCTTCAGATATTAATGAACACTTCCCTCTAAGGAAAACTCTGGAGATGGAGTTTCTTCTAGATGTTCTTGTGTTTATAATTTAACATTTTATTTAAATATTTGCATCATTGCCATGTTTTTCCTTAATGACAGTTTTACTATTAATGGTAACCTGATGATAATTTTCTTTGATACTTCACTTATCCAACTGTAGTTCCCATCTTTACATTTTTGATATTTCACTGCAAATCATAGCAGCAATTTCTTTTCCTTTCTCCTCCTTATCTTATTTTCTTTTCAGTCTGTTTGGTTTATGAAGTACCATTTGTTCGGATAACAGTGTCAGGTACTACTTAGGCCTCTGTCTAGAAAAGCTTGTAGCATATTAGTCAAGTTCAAACTCTTTGCTTTCAGAGAACTGCAGAACACGCCTGATGCTGTCCCTGATAGTGGGATTGAACCCCCTCCTCTTGACACAGCATGGGTAGAAGCTACGCGCAAAAAAGCTCTTCTTAAGCTGGAGAAACTGGACACAGATCTGAAAAATTACAAAGGGAACTCCATTAAGGAGAGTATCAGGTGAGATGTAGAAGGCTCTGCTGAAGTAAGGAAGAGTGTTTTGCTCTTCTAGGCATCTAACACAGGCAGTGAGCTGCATTCAGTGCCTTAGGTCAGTATGACAAGTTACTTGTTTCAAGCAAGCTGTGACTCTGTGTTCCCTTTCTTTTCTGTACCTTCTGAGTTGGTATTTTAACTCCTGTGCTCTAGGAGAGGCCATGATGACTTAGGTGATCATTACCTTGACTGTGGGGACCTCAGCAACGCTCTCAAATGTTACTCGCGAGCCCGTGATTACTGCACCAGTGCTAAACATGTTATTAACATGTGTCTCAATGTCATTAAGGTAGGAGGATTTGCAGAGAATAATTGGAGTCTTTCTGACACCTATTGTGCTGTCCATTAGTGTCCAGTTATACCTCTTGCATCTGTAATGGCAGAGCTTCTGCGAGTATCACTGTTTATTCATGCCTTGATCTGTGCTGGTTTTTGGCTGTTTGCAGGTCAGTGTCTACCTCCAGAATTGGTCTCACGTTCTGAGCTATGTAAGCAAGGCTGAATCTACACCAGAAATTGCAGAGGTAAGCTTCTGCTTTTTAACTTGCATTTTCCCTTTGCTTTTTGTCTCCAAAATTTTTATCAGAATCTCTTCCTTTCTCTTTTTAGGATTAGTTCCCTCTAAGACTTCTTTGATTTCTCAATGTGTTTTTCCTCTAATCTGTCCATTCTGTGACTTACATACTGTTCCTTTTAAGGTTCATTGCTGCTTACCTCCAAATATGTGCCTAGGAGATATAACTTATGATAAATGTAGAGAGATTTTCCATTCTTGGTATCCATTTCAGCTCTTGCCATA